GCATGATCTGATGCATCGCGCCATACCACATGACCTGCGCCGATCCCAACCCATCTACATATTTTTCTGCTAACAATGGTTATGCCCGGATTGTAATTATTAAGCGCAATTATTTTAATGAAGCTGTCATGTTATTCTTCAGAAAAGTATTATGTAAACCAAAAACATTTCTGTCTCAATAACGAGAGGAATGGCATATACAGTATAACCCATTACTAAACGAACCTTTTCTTAGTCGTCTTTTATGGGTAGAAAATTATTAGTATCCTATATATTTTTCTGCTCGAAAAAATTCTTCCGCCTTTGTGCAACCATTTGTAATTATTTATTCCAACCGAGTAGTCTCAGGTTTTATCTCGTTGAAAAATTACAACTAACATAAGGTTTGAGATCTATAGGATCTTAACTTTAAAGCTATATATATTAACACAAAGTACTTATCTGTGATATCAATATAAAAAATGTCGAATCCTAGATAAAACACAAGACATGTGACGGCTGTCGAACATCACGTAAAAAATGTAAATATGAAAGGCTTCAGGGCATTTGTAAACAGTGCTTTAGAAGAAAAAAAATAATTTTCTTTTCTGTTGACCACTAAGATGCGCAGCTCTAAACCTTTCTGCAAAAATCGACAGGAATCCCATTTATAGACGCCGTATACAATTAATTGTTTATTATATTCAGAAAATTACGAATACCATTAACTCATATCGATACTTGATTGACATTTCGTATTGGAGATATTTTACACTACGTATTTTTTTAATACTCTTAGTAACTATCGTGGAAATATGTAATATTTGGGTGATAAATAAACAGAAAAAAGTTAATACAGTACTACAGGATGCATATGTCTTATTACATAGTATGCGTTTATATATGCTATTTATAAATGCCAGCAAGGTTCAATAATTGCTTTCAAATAATTTTATTCTTTCATGGTGCTTCCTTCAAAGGTTAGTTACTGTATATATTCTGGAGAATATGATTCCAAGTTCACCGAATTAAAAGCTGCATATAAAGTTCGCACCGTGGAGACAGAAAGATTAGAGATTTAGCAAGATGAAATCTTCACCCTCGGGCAAGCGGTCTTCCCGTTGATATTTGTGAATATTTTTTTAAGTGATGGATACTTCAAGTTTAATAAATCCGATATGGTTACAAAAGGAAATGACATGGAGTTGTTTTACTTCTTGTAGGTCGGTCCTTTAGTCATTAGTCAATCAGAAAGGAGGCTTGAAAGAATATATAGAGATTATAGGAGAACTGATTTTAAAATGTTATTTATATCCCTATTTCTGAGACCTAAAATGGAATATTCGATAAAGTTGAATATTATCAAAGAACGCAGAATAAAGAGCTTGTATGCATAAAAAGGACGTGTTTAGCTGGATTCCGGTGAGTTAAAATTTTTGAATAAATGAATTCTGTGTCATAATTAAGAGTACGTGTGATTTAAACTATTTACCGCTAAATTTTAAAACTATCTGAGAAGTATCACATAATGAGGTAAGAAGGCGTTATTCGCATAATTATTTAGAGTTTCCGAAAAGGCGGTAATATAACATTGTCTGACGATCAATCAAGTTTGTCACAGATCGATCTTTCTTTTACAACTTTGGTAATGTTATTCAGCTAACTGCGGCCAAAGAAACCCAGAATTACTATTTCTATCACTATGACGAGGAAATCGATAGTATACGCTGAAATATGTAGGAATGTGAATGATCTAGTTTTATACGGTGCATTTTTAATCTTATTAATTTTATTTTAAGTGAGTGCATTTATTTATTTAAACTCCATGACGTGTATATGTTTTGTAGGTAAATTATTACTACATATTATTAATCGGAATTTACACACTATTGTTGTACGTGTCAGTGTGCTGCCGGCAATTATAGCGAGTCAACATCATGAGGAAAAGCGACAAAAGAATATCATCTAAAGAAATTGTGGAAAAAGAAATCATCTTAAAATAAATGACACCTTGTGCGTGTAAGGCTTTCAAAATAACATTTATTTATTATTGTAAATCCGCTTCTAAAGATGAAGGTATTCCATTTTTTGATTATAAAAGATATATAAAATTGATAATTTTGAGGATAACAAAAGGTTATGGAATGTACTAAGTCTTCGGAGAAAAAGAGAAAAATCAGCACCTAAGTTAATAGCCTAATAATGTTAAACTGTACATGTGTGATGATACTATTAACATAACAAATACTTTAAGTTTATGACAATTTCACGAAATTTACAATCATTTTGCAAGCGCACAATATTTGAATGACATTAATTCTTAAGTTTTGATCACTCAAACACATACAATGTTAATTATAGAATCAATTATGACCCGAAAATTTATTCGTCAATGAATGTTTGACATTTTATTAAAATTTTTTAATTCGAAATGTTTCCAATAACGGTAAAATGTCCATAATGCAAAATGTTGGCAAGATGATAAATATTGTTAAATACCGGTAATAATACTGTATGTCTCTTGTACGAATGTTTGATAAATGTCTATGATAGATATGCTTTTCAAATGCCAGTAAGATGTCTATAATACTATCTGTAATGACAAATGTCAGTAAGATGCCTATAATGCAAATGTCTATAATAAAAAATGACGTCAAGATGGATATAATACAAAAGTTTGCTAAGTATCCTTAAGATACAGTATTTATAATGAAAAATGTCTGCTAAATGTGGATATCGTCAAGAAGTCTATAACTCGAAATGTTTTTTAAATATTGGTAAGATGTTTAAAATCGAGGTGTGCTCAAATATCGGGAGGGTGTTTAAAACCGAAACGTTTGATTGAATATCAATATGATGTTTAAAATCGAAATGTGCTCAAATATCGAGAGAATGTTTTATTAAATCTTGATACTGGTTAAATTTGCATGTAAGCGTCAATTATAGGGTCGCCGCTGGGTTTTTCATAAAAAGGTATCTTTTTGCGGCCACGCTTTTTAGTGTTCGAAAGAAAGGTACAATATTTTTTTCTCTTTATGCACCTCTTGCAAAAGTCTTGAAGGCCATCGTATTCGCACCTTTTACGTAGAGCTCGACAGCCGTCACAGGCTCTCGTTATGTGTTTTCTGGAATTTAACATTTTTATTGGATATCACGGATGGGATATTTTATGTTAATTAAAACCAAAGAATGGTAAAGAGGAATCAATTACTGTAGTGATGTATAAGTAACGACTAATTGTTGTGGAAATAGAATTTCAAACCTTAGGTGGGTTTGTGATTGTCGCAACGCGAGAAATAAACAACGGCTGATATGGGGAATCCAGAAAAATGCTCAGTAGATATAGTTCACGAATAGGCGGAAAATTTCTTTATCACGTGTACAATTGACCTTGATTTCGAAGGCCAAATTTACCATAAAAGACTATGTTCTGAATATCTTCATAAAGAGGCTGAGTCTGCATGATGGTTTTACAGGAACATCATGTGATGGATATCACACATTCTTTCTCACAATATTATCAATACGTAAGGTTTTTGATCAAATTTTTCTTTAAAATCGAACAAAGTAATTTTCTTGTTATTAATAATTTTTGCAAACAAAACGTAAATATAAAACTATTATCATTAATCATTAATCTACAATTGGGGTTAGACAGCGGCCAGTACCAATCTTGGCACCAATCAAATCATTAGTGCAGTTCGGTCTTATGATTCCGGAGATCTTGTATCTCTTGATCTCTACCCAGGTAGGACATCAAATAAGTGTATAGTGACACTTTTTTTTTTTTTAGTTCTCTTTATCCTGTGATTGATATTTATTGTCGTACATGTTTTCATTTAATTCACGTTTACGCGCACCGCCGATATTGCATTAGAAAAACAAAACCTTATATGAAGTTAAATGCAATCTTCGAAAAAGAACACATTTTTAAAGAAATACTTTTGGCTTTACATACTGTATATATTATATACTGTACTGTATATTGCTAATATTAAAATCCTATAAATTATGAAGTCTATCTTTTTTTTTTTTTAGCGGTATCATTTCATATTCAACAAGTTATGCGGGACTCGAAATCCTTATCATAAAAGCACGTGCATAAAAAATTCAACAAACTAAAATAATTAGTAATGTACAAAACTTTTTTAAAATCATCAGTTGGGTTTGGGATTGGCTAGACTTATTTGAAATACTATTTTGAGAAAGAATGGTCTCCTAGCTACAGTATATAACGGAAGCGTAAAGCATAGCTTGAGTAATATATGTAACGAGACCAATAACAATCAATAATTCCATGATTAAAATATCGTATATTGAGATTACACAAAATAAGCCTCACATATGTTACATGTATCCCAATGCGACAATGGTTTCATGAGTACTGGCCTCGTTTCATGGTAAAAATTGGTACATCACGAATATACCTTTTATGCTACGAGATTGTCATAAGGTTGACATAGTATTTCGAATAAATTATAATCTGAAAATGTTTCTGAGTGGTTCAAATAAATTTGAATTCAAATTTCCTCTAAATAAGGTCAATAAATAAATTATACTGAGTAATAGACTAGGCAAAAGGGATTGATTTGATCTTAAAAAATTTATATTTACAGTATATTAATGAAATGATTTTTTTATTAGTAGCCATCTTCATGGGCTGTGATCATAAAGAATGAGTTATCATAAATAATGTGCTTTTCTAGTCATTTCTTTAGATCGTCTAAAAATAAATTTAAATCGTTATCTCTAGTTTTTTGTTTATCGACTCTTTTGGTAGATTATTAAAGACACACGAGGCTAAGGCTAAGCCACAGCGCTATAAAACCACAAAAAGTTCGGGTCCCGTGACAAAAAACGCCACATCCACAGCATCTCCTGTTCGTCACCGTTGTGGCTGATATTCTGAATTTACTCGTTCACTAGATTATGTGTAACTTAGTTTTTAAATATTATTCTATATGAAAAAGCCTTGTTTTTCCAAAAAGTACTGAATTATAGCGAATTAAACCAGTTAGTATCCAAAAATGTAATTATTGTAACAACCGATCCTTTATCTAATTCGAAAAATATCTATATTCAGTATTACCTTTTATGGTCAATAGAAAAATGTTGATGTTATATGTTCCGGTCATCAAATTTCAACTATTGCTACACTTGTGCCGTATACTTACTGTCACCTATGCAGATTACTTTAGAGTGGAGGAGTTACCGAAGGGTTCTTATAATAATTCAGAAACTTCACTGTACATGTCGGTAAGAATATTGCACGAGAACATCTTAAATTGATCTACGTATTTCAAAAAAAGGGGGGCAATTTTTTGTATGAATATTTTATCTCAAGAGTTGACTGCCGGCACCACATATATAGAAAACTATTGCCTTTTAAAAATTAAAGAACATTCGATGATAAAGGAGTTCGATAAATAAATAAGCAATATTACCATATAAGTTGACGATGAAAGAGAAATTGATTTTTTTTCAATAAAATTTTCATACAGCCAATCGAATCAGAATTATGATAACGGTACAAGGTAATTATCTTTCATACTGTACATGCGTTGAAACATTTGTACAACTAATAAAAAAGAAAATAATGCAATGCTACCGTCTGTTGCCACACTCGGGGCTGTTCAAGTCATATGCACGTGAACATGCATTTGTACATACAGTATAGTACTATGAGAACTAACATAACCATACGCAGTATATTTGTGATTCTAATCAATATGTTACGTTTTGAATTCAATTTTAGGTCATTTCTTCTTCTTGTAGAATGTTGATCTAGAATTAATATTTATAGGCTTGGCTAATTCTTTTTTTTTAAAAAAAGTAGCTATATAATATCACGGTCGATCGGCTACTACAGATCACGTGATCAAAGTCGCAATACGTTTTTCACGTCCAAACCAACCTTTCCCTTGTAAAATAATTATTTGACATAATAATATCGATTTGTATATAATAATTACCATCATAAAAATATATGATTTTTTTTAAAAAATTCAAAACCAAATTTGGTTCAAGTGAATTCCAAGTAACTCTCATAGTAGTAAATATAATTGTTGTTTGATATGTCCGTAATTATAAAGTATGCAAACTTTTTCTTTGAAAAGGTATCGCTGGATTAGTCGGACACAACATTATGATAAAGAGTGGCGCGAAGGAAAGTAAAGGAATACCAAGAAACTTATCTAAATCACAACACAACTGCGACTATGGTCACGTGACTGGCATTTGTGAGATCGATACGAAAGATTACTTAATACTGTAATAGTTTCCCATGAGATTTCACTTAACTTTAATTGGTTCTATTATTATCATTATGTAATAGGTGCGGAAAATTTGTTAAAAGAAAGGAAGAATTAATAAAGACAGTAAGTTTTTTGACCAACATCGACCCAGTATTCTTCAAGATTTTCTATCCTTTCACATTTTAATTAGGTTGTAATATAAATTTAATTATCTCTTTCACAAATATATTCGCGCTTGCCATAAGTGTTAAAAATCTAGCATATATCCCAAGAATTTTCTTGGTCAAAAATAATGCCATGTGGAATCAAAGAACTTCAATACAAAGAAGAAAACGATATTTTGTACACTTATTCTTACCTAAAGTTAAAAACTTGCGACCTTTGTCGTTGGCTTTCTATATTTTATGTTGAATAAAGAATAGTCTTGTTAAGACTCATGAATTTCGCGAAACTATCATAAACGTAAAATGCTGTTATGTTAATATTATTATCGTACATATACAGTATATAAATTTATTAACCCAGTTCAACATTGTTTTGAGGTACGCTTTTTCTCTTTTCCCCGAAGACTTAGTTCATTCCATAATCTCAAAATCATTATATTTTAAATACTTTTAATATAATCAAAAAATAGAATGCCTGCATCTTTAGAAGCGGATCTACAATAATAAAAAGTAATGTTTTGAAAGCCTTACACGCACAAGGTGCCATTTATTTGTAAATTCTCCTCCTTGATTGATTCGCTATAATTGCCGGTAGCATACCGACACCGTACAGCAATGGTGTGTAAATTCCGATTATAGTACATGATATGTAGTAATAACGTAAAAACCATATTACACATCATGGAGTTTAAACAAATAAATGCCTTCACTTATAATAAAATTATACTAAGTGAAATAAGATTAAAAATGCATCGTATAAAACTAGATTATTCAAATTTCTACATATTTCAGCCGATTCCAGCGTCATAGTGATAGAAATAGTAATTCTGGGTTTCATTGGCCGTAGTTAGTTGAATGATATTACTAAAATTGTAAAAGAAGTAAGATCGATTTGTGACATAAACTTGATTGGGTTTGTTGATCGTCGGACAATGTTATGTTACCACCTTTTCGGAAACTCTAAATAATGATGCGAATACTGTAACGCCTTCTCATCTCATAATGTAATATAGTACTTCACAGAAAGTTTTAAAATTTAGCGGGTAAATAGTTTAAATCACACTTTCCTTACTTATGACGCAGATTTCATTTATTCAAAATTGTTAACTCACCAGAATCCGGTTAAACACGTCCTTTTTATGCAAACAAGCTCTTTATTCTGCGTTCTTTGTAAATATTCAACTGTATCAAATTTTTTGTTTTAGGTCTCAGAAGTAGGGAGATAAATAACATTTTAAAATCAGTTCTCCTATAAGCTCTATATATTCTTTTTTTGCTTGACCAATGACTAAAGGACGGGCCGACAAGAAATGAAACAACTCCATGTCATTTAAAAAATAGCAACAAATATCAATGGGAAGATCGCTTGCCCGATGGTGAGGATTTCATCTTGCTATATCACTAATCTTACTGTCTCCATAGTGCAAACTTTATGTGCAGCTTTTAATTCAGTAAAATTGGAATCATATTCTTCAGAATGTATAACCAACCTTGAAGGAAGTACCATGAAAGAATAAGATTGTTTGAAAACAATTATTGAACCTTGCTTACATTAATAAATAGCAGATATAAACGCATAATATCACCCAACTATTACATGTTTTCACATTAGGTACTAAAAGTATAAAAAAAATATGTAGGGTAAAATATCTCTAATACGAAATTCTAATCAAGATCGATGTGAGTTAAAGGTATTCATAATTTTCTGAATATAATAAACAATTAATTGTATACGGCGTCTATAAACGGGATTCCTGTCGGTTTTTCGTAGAAAGGTTTAGGGCCGCGCTTCTTAGTGGTCAAGAGAAAAGTACAATATTTTTTTCTTCTAAAGCACTGTTTACAATTGTCCTGAAGCCTTTCATATTCACATTTTTTACGTGATGTTCGACAGCCGTCGCATGCTCTTGTTATGTTTTTTCTAGGATTCGGCATTTTTTTATTGATACCACGGACAAGTATTTTGTGTCGATCTGAAAAAGAAAAATCAATTAGCGACACATACAGTATATATAAATAAAATTTTAAAGTTAAGAACCAATAGATCCAAACCTTATGTTGGTTGCAAATTTTCACACGAGATAAAACCGGAGACAACGTACATACTCGGTTGGAATAAATAATTACAAATGGTTGCACAAAGGCGGAAATATTTTTTCGAGGTGTACCATAAAAGGCCAGATGCTACTAATTTTCCACCTATAAAAGACGAGTAAGAAAAAGTTCGTTTAGTAACTTAGGATTATACTGTATATGCTATTCCTCTCGTTAATAATGAGACAGAAATGCTTTTTGTTTACACAATACTTTTCTGGGAAACAACATGGATATTTCTTTAATAATTGTGCTTAATCAATTACAATTTAAGCATTATTTGTTACATAAGTTATCGGGAGCTAAAGGTGCATTGACTTCTTATCTTTTACTAAACATAATTAATACTTAAAGTTTTGTTCAAGTCTTTGTGCAACACGGACAAAGAGTTTTTCTTATTGTAAATCGAGACTAGTGTCTATATTGATGTATTTAAGGAAATTTTTGCTTACACGTATTACAGAAGTCATGAAAATATAATCTAAGATTTCCGAATTTTCGGATTTCCAAATTAGTGCATTTAGCATTACTCAATCGGCTTACTTAATTATAGATTATAAAATAAAATTTTCTAAATTAAACCTACGTATTAATCATGTTAATATATTTATTTAAAAAAATAAACATGCTATTAAAACAATATTTAAAATCAAATCCGTAAATTTTTTAATAAATAAATTTATTGAATATTATAAAAAAAATCCAACAAATCGAGCATACCAATATTAATGAATTCAGAACTATTCCTTGAAAAACATTCATAGTATGATAGATATGGCATCAATCCTTGTGTCTAAAGTTTTTGTACATTATATAATGCCGCACAGGAAATTTATTTGTTTTTTACATTTGATATAAAACATGTGATTTGACGGGTTAAAGAGATATTAAAGAAAGGAAAAATCAATAAACAGTAAGTTTTTTGGCCAAGGTCAAATCCGCCTCACCTTTATTAAAAATACTTATCAATCATTATGAAAATCTTATTTACTCTTAGCGACAGACTCACTGTATTATTGATAGACAATTTTTATTTAACTAGATTTGTTAATTCAATCTTTCTCATTTGCCGAATAAAACCATCGTACAGAAAGATAAAATTGCCTTGTACCGTTATCAATATCATGATTCTTGTTTGGTTTGGCTGTATGAAAATTTTTTTACTTTTATCGTTAACTTATAGGTCAAGATTACAAAGCATTAGTTTATTTTTCTTATTTGTTTATCAAATCCTTTTTTTGATTTTTGTTATCGAATGTTCTTTGATTTTTAATCCTATATGTGTCGCAACTTTTACAGGCAGTCATACAAAAAATTTCCTTTTTTTTTTTTGAAATACGTCAAAACTATCGTGATAGCAATATTGTTTCTAGCAGAGTTTGAGTTGCCATTTTAGGCGTATAAGTGTTCTTATGCAACATTCATTCCATAAATTCGAATTAAAAGAACCTTTCGGGTAATTCCACTCGAAAGGAATCTGCACAGGTGACAGTAAGGACACTGCGCAAGTGTATTATTTGACGATCGTCGTATTACAGTATACTGTTATAATGACTATTTGGGAAAACAAGGTTTTTGATAATTTCGAATACCGGGAAACGAAAAACGATCTACAGAAATAACTGTACTGTAATTCCTTTTTCATAGTCCATTATTAATTACTTTTAATTTTGTCAACCTTATGATAATCTCGTAGCATTCGTGACGTATCAAATAATTATATAGTGAATTTTTTGGGGGTTCTCTTTATTTGAAGGTTGATACTTATTGTCTTGATTTTTCTCGTACATGTTCTTACTTGATTCAAATTTATAAGTAGTCATGCGCACTACCAATATTGCATTAGGAAAAATTTTTATATGAACAAGTTAAGTTAGATGCAACCTTCAAAATTCTAAAGTTAGTAATGCACAAATTAACAACACGTTAGGTTAACCCCTTCGCTTCAGTAACGAACGGGATTGATTCTATGTAGCATGCTAAACAATAAAATTGCAAATTACAACATTTCAAGTACAGTACTGTATATCTCACAGGTTAAAAAAGTGCTAGTGTCGCGTAACAGGTCGAAATCCAAAATTGCAAATTTTCGTTAGGTTTGGGATTGAACGGACCCATTCGATATAGTTTTGAGAGTAAAACATAGCCCAAACAAGATATTTTTCAAACAAGAGTGAGATTATTTCCCAATCCTATAATTAAAATAGCATATACCAATATTATACAAAAATAGGCCTTACCTATGTTTCTTTCATAGTCTATCTAGGTAGAGATCAAGAGAGATATGGGTAATTATTTTCGAAGGTGGACCGGAAATTTTCTGGTGTGATCCTAAAATTTATATTATATACAGTATGTATTGCTTAAAAGTTGAGTCCGAAAAATCATATCTAGCATTTTTTTCGCCTTCAAAAATAATTATCCATATACGAAATCAAAAGACTGAACCGTACATTAATACTTTGTTGCAGGTCCACGGACTTCGTGATTCGCGGACCAATTGCTTTTTTGTCCGAAACATTACGAGAAAAGGATTTACACTTCACTCACATGGAAGAAATCTCCCGCCTTTCGTGCAGCTATCGTAATCATTTATATTTGAGCATTTTTCTGGATTCCCCAGATCAACTGTTGTCCACTTTCGGGTTATCTCTCGCGACCTAAGGTTCGAAATTCTATTTTCACAAACAATCAGTCGCTTTTATATATCACTAATTGATTCCTCTTTACCATTATTTGGTTTAAATTAACATAAAATATTCCATTCGTGATATCCAACAAAAATGTTGACTTCCAGAAAACACACAACGAGAGCCTGTGACGGCTGTCGAACTTTACGCAAGAGGTGTGAATACGAAAGCCTTCAAGACTTTTGCAAGAGGTGCATAAAGAGAAAAAAATTTTATACCTTTCTTTCAGACACCAAAAAGCGTGGCCGCAAAAAGATACCCTTTTATGAAAAACCCAGCGGCGACCCTATAATTGACGCTTACATGCAAATTGAACTTGTACCGAGATTTAATAAACACCTTCCGATATTTGAACACATTTCAAACTTTAAACATCTGTAAGATGTTTAATCAAACGTTTTGAATTTAAACACCCTCCCGATATTTAAGCACATTTCTATTTTAAAACATTTGGATTTAAACACACACTCGATATTTGAGCACAACAATTTTAAACATAATGTCGATATTTGATCAAACGTCTCGGTTTCAAACCCTTCTGATATTCGAGCCCATTTTAATTTAAACGTTTTACCGATATTTGAAAAATATTTCGAGTTAGACTTCTTACCGAGTTTATAAGACATTTTGCATTATGGATATCTTAAGGACACTTATCAAACATTTGTATTATAAGCATATTATAAACATTTGACATTATAGACATTTGCATTATAGACATCCTACTGGCATTTGCATTATAGACAGGATTATAGACATCCTACTTAGGGATGTTATCGTGCTAAGCAGCTCTGCTTATGCTCCTCTTATATGTGCTTTATGCTTAAGCGTGCTTGAGCATAATGCTT